CTCCGCGCGCTCCCGAGCCCCGGACGCCCGTCGCGCCGGGCCACTCGGCGGGCAGCCGGCGCGCGCAGGGCGAGCCCCTGACCTACCTCGGGTCCAACGCAGGCCGGGTTCTCGGCTCTAAGGATTCGGGGTCTGAGGCCCTGCCGCCAGCGTCGCGCAAACTGCATTCCAGGCCGCGGGCCTCAGACACTACACTTCCCAGGACCCACCGCGCCTCCGCGGGGAAGGAAGTGCCCCCCAAACACACTACAATTCCCAAAACACCCCGCGTCCACGCCCACAGCGCCGGAGACCGACTGTGGGCCTCAGACACTGCATTTCCCGGGACCCACCGCTCCGCGCACGTGGGATGCAGTGTGCGTCTCACACACACACTACAACTCCCAGTATGCCCCGCGGCGGAGCTCATGGCGCCTCGATACAAAGGCCGTTGACCTCAGGCAACTACAACTCACCGGCCGCCGAGCAGCCTCAGCCTGAGACCCAGAGCGCGACCCTCAGACAACTACAATTCCCAGAACCGACTGCGGCCCCAGCACTTCCGTCAGAGACTTCCAGCCTCCGACAGCTGTGGTGACCAGATGCGATTCCCGGAGACGCTCGCGCCGTCAGGCGAGATCGGGGAACGCACCCCCGAGGCCGCAGCGCCCGCGCACGCCATGGCTCTGACGCCCCCGGAAGCACTGGGGAAAGGGGAGCTAGAACGGCTGCGCCGGCCGAGCGACCTGAGCGCCCCTGTGCCCCCCTGTGCGGAACACTGTCCTGGGCACGTGGAGGAGGTTTGGGGAGCAAGCAGGACGCTCCTGCCCTTGGAGAGCGCAGAGGCGGAGTGGGGTGGGAGGCAGGGCGGGAATCCTTGAAGTATGGCGGTCAGGAAAGGGTCGGCCCACTGGATCGGGGGGCATTACTCCAGGTGGAGGGAACAGTTTATGAAAAAAGGCTTAGAGGCAGGAAAGAAAAACGGTCCGTTATGGGACAGGAGAAGAACATTCATTGGCCTGGTGAAAAGAGGACAGGGAAGAGGTGGTGCAAAAAGAGATGAGACTGAAAAGGCAAGCGAGGCGTTGTGAGGGGATTTGCGTGTAGTGAGAAGACTGTGCAGAGTTTCAAGGAGGGTATAACGTGGTCATGTTTGCCTTCTAGTGCCTGGTGTCGGGTAAAGTGAAGGGAAGGAGGACTTGAGCCAGGAAGGCCAGTTCGGGCAACGCAGTAGTTCTGTCTTCTGAAGACTGGCATCTGGGGGGACTGATTCAGGACACAATTTAAAGGAAGAATCTAAGGGACCCGGTAATGAAACGGATATGGTGGATGAGAGAGAAGAGCTAGGTTTCTTGCTTGGGTGAAATATTTCTAGAAGTTCATTCTTTAAAACCTCTTCTACCGCTATGTTATTCTACCGCTATGTTATCCACTCCCATGACTTCAACTTCGACGTATACCACAGACAACTGGCCCAGATCTTTGGGTAATCATTTATTTCACTAAGATGATGAACACAGGGAAAAAAAAATTTAGGAGAGAAGAAATGAATTTGTTTTGGGACATGTTGAGATCGACATGTGTCTGTGTTTAATCTTAGCTACTAATCTTGTCCAAACTATGTTTTCTCGCCTGGAATCTTGCTATAACTTCACCACAGCCATTTCCCCAAATCTTTTGTTCACACAGAAGTCAGCCTAATGTTTATAAAAGCACTTACAAACATATTCCTCTGCTTAACATAATTTGATGGCTTTTGATTGCTCTGAAGTAAAGGCAAAAGTCCTCCACATAGTCCACAACACTGCGTCTTACCCCGTGTGTCGTAGTCTTACATTAATTTCCCTCTCTGACTGCTAACCTTCTTTCCCCAAAGCCATGCATCTCAGGACCTTTGAGCGTGTTAATTTGCTTTACCTCAAAAGGCCATTGGTCCCTTCACATTCAGCTCAGAGAAGTGTTCTCTGATCCCATTGTGATCTCGGAGTAAGGTCCCTTTGACTGTTCACCCTCATTGAGTCCTATACTCATTCTCCTTAGCATTTACATAATTTGCAATTATGTTTGTAATTATGTATGTGTATTTGTGTGATTATTTTGTTACTCCTTGTCTACCTCACTAGACCAGAAGCTCTATGAGTCTAGCAACTGTCTGTGGTGCTTATCGTTATGCCCATGACTAGCATATTGCTTGACACAGAGTAGGGGCTCAATGAATTTATTGACTGAATGAATGACCAGAATTATAAGAATTTAATTTGGGAGGCCGGCCTGGCGGCCTGGTGGTTAAGTTCGGTGCGCTCTGCTCTGGTGGCCTGGGTTCGGTTCCGGGTTATAGTGTAGACCACTCGTCAGCAGCTGTGCTGTGGCAGTGATCCACCTGCAAAATGCGGGAAGATTGGCAACAGATGTTAGCTCAGGGCGAATCTTCCTCAGGGAAAAAAAAAAGAAAATTTAATTTTTGTCATATGGTGAGTTAAAATATCTTGTTTTAACCTACTTTCTGTAAGAATAAGCAACTTTATTTATTGACTAGTTCTTATTTATCTTCTGTGAAATACCTGTTCTTATTTGTTCTTATGTCTCTGAGGCAGATAAAGACGCTGTGTGGAGTCCCTTTCAATCCCTAGCAGTTACAAAGGCCTCTAGGGTTCTGTAGCAAGGCCATGGCTTCTGTGGCAGAGAACTACTTTCCATTTGAAAAACAAACTCTGGCATGCTGCAGGGCCCCAACAGAGGTGGCACACTGGAGCATGTGAGTATGTGACTGGTGCTAGCCTTCACGAGATGTATTCTCAGGTTCATTGACTGCTGCTGCAATTCACTGTATTGTGGAAATGCTTTATTTGGGATCAGGCATTAGGAAGTCCAGAAAGCCTAGGTAAAGTGCATAAATAGGAGTCCAGACTCCTATGTCAACTGACAGGCCTCCTGGGGGCTTCCCTGTGACCAATGGGCAGTGGAGGAGATAACTCAGGCCTCGTTCACAGGTGCATCAGCACCATCTGGAAAGGACCACTGATACATTTTAAAGAATTTTGTGAAGACCCTAAAGGACAGTTTTCAGAGAAACCTTCCCAGTGGTCACAGCTAGGAGAGGTACCCTTGGAAATTTACTTCATATAGCAGCTGGGACAGCTGGAAATACAGACGTACACTAATTTCTTGGCAGAGGTAACTGACTTGGCTGGTTGTTAGGATCCTGACAGGAACAAAACTGGAACCTCAGGGACAAGGAAGTCTGAGGAAAGGCCGCGTGGGTGAACTCCGAACCTGGCAGTGGACACACAGCGTGTGGCTGTCCATGTCTCACCCCCAAAAGAGGCAGGGGAAGCCAATGGCGGACGGTGTGACACCTCGTGCGTGTCAGCTGGTTTCAGGTCCAATGACCCATTTTAAGGCAAAGAAAGTGTAACAGTGGGATTGTGATCATGGTTAAGACCACTAGTATTAACATTTATTTGCTTACCCAGAAGCAGTCAGCCTGACAGAATGGTAAAATGGCCTGTGGATGGTTCCTAAGTTTTACAGTACGTACTTGTGACCCAATTACAGGGTCTATCCTCAACGAGATCCAGTTCCTGTATTTTTTATTATAAAGATAAGACCTTCCTAAGCTGTCCATCTATTTTGGCCCTTAAGATCCCACGATCAGTTAGCCACTTCCAGAGGTTTTGGCAGGTCCAGCAACTCTGATTACAATTATGACCCTGAGCCTATTGCAGTAACCACGCCCGCCTTGCTCTCAAAACTAAATTCTGCTACTAGGACTGTTCCATCCCAGACTCCTAGAATCTCCTTTGATACCAGGGGTCTCACTTCAGTGACAGCAGCACCATCTTCACCCTTGGCCTACAACACACGGCCACAGCACATTTCTCCGGGATGCTGGCGCTCCCCTCACCCAGGAATTTCTCAACGCCCTGGTAAGAGAAGTGTCTTCTGGCCCCTCTTGGAGGTCAAAATGGAGGGACCTGGTGAGTGGATTACTCATGACAAATCTATATCGGTAATCATATTTCCTCAAGTTCCTATACTGTAACAAGGAATTTCTGACAGCTTATCTTAGTATTGGCCTCTGTCAAGTCCAGCTTTCAGCTAATCAACTAAACAGAAACGATGATACTAATAGATCAGCAAAGTCACAATCTTGTTCATTATAAAAGCTAATAGACAAACTTCTGCTAAGAGGGAACAAGAATAAAACAGAATGTAACGATAAATATTACAATGAAAAATTCAACATAAACTACAGATACAGAAGAGATTCCAAAATTAATAAAACATCTATAATTTGATGTCAATATATAAATTACTAGAAAAACAGCCTACCAAAACTTCCTAGATAATATATAAAGCAAAATATATAATACAAAAATGTGAATCGTATCTTTTGTGGTAAGTTGCTAAACCCACAGGGTTTGTTGCCCATCCCCTGGGAGGCATGTGGCGTGTCAGGGTCTCCAACCCGCTGGCCACCACTTGCTCACCCTGCTTGACCAGCATGGTTTCACTGCTGTGACGGGTCACTGTAATGTTCTCTGGAAGGTCAAGATAGTCTCTATCTCTTCAGACTATGTTACAGTGGCCCTGGGGTAAACTGTGGATGTATAACGTTGTCTGCTCCATGTTAATGCAAACATTTTTTTAATCTTTTTTCCTGAGTGGGGTAAAAAGAATGCATTTGTCTAATCAAAGGCTGCATAGTATGTACCCAAGGGCATACAAATCTGCTTTAGAAACAATGCCATGTCTGCAAGTGGGAGTACTATTGGTTGAGCTTGTGTCTAGTCTGGAGTCATTCTCTAGAACTTGTCGGGCTTCCACAAGGTCTTGACTATGGAATTAAACAGGGATATGATAGAATATCACCACTGCATCTTTTAGGTCTGTAAGAACAGCACTAATCTCTGCCACCCTCTTCCCATCCCCCTCCCCTGAATGTAGTAGTGTTTTTTATTTAATATCTTACCTGGGGAGTAAGTTTCCATCTTGCTTCCCCCACTATGGTGGCCCTTAACCAATGACCAGGGATCCAACACAGGGGTGACTCTAGTCACCAAGAATGTCAGTCCAGTCCAATGGCACAGAATCTCTCTCACCAGGGCTGATCTGGCTACTGCCACCACTGAATGTCCAAAATGAGAGACCAAGGCTGAGCCCCCCACAAGGAACCATTCCTTGAGGAGACCAACTGGTACTTGGTGTCAAGTCGACTACTTTGGCCTTGAAAAGGCTAGTGTTTGTTCTCACAGGAAAAAAATACATATTCCACGTATGAGTTTTCTTCCCTGCTCATAGGGCCTCAGCCAGCACCACTACCCAAAGGCTTAAAAAATGTCTGCTCAACTGATATGGGAGCCCACATACACTGCATCAGACCAGAGGGGGTCTTTGCAGCAAAGGGGGTGCAAGAATATGCCCAGTACAAAAGGACCCCCTGGACGTTTCACATACCTCACCTTCCAGTAGCTGCTGTTGCAACAGAGCATTGCAATGGCCTGGTGAAGGCAAAGATGAAGCCCCAGCTCAGAAGCAATGTTCTGTCAGGACATGGCGCTATCTTTCACATGCAGCACGTGGACTGGATGGAAGATCTCTCTATGGTGCTGTGTCCCCATAGTGGAACAATACATGGTACCACTGCCTGGAAGCAGGGATGGCCTCACCCACCACCATTACCAATGACCCTCCAGGGGACTGTGTGCTTCCTGTACCCACAACTTGGGGCTCTGCGGGGTTAAAGGTCTTGCTCCCCAGAGGGGGCACACTTTTCACCAAGGGACAGAACAAGTTTTCTACTTAATTACAAGCTATAGGTACGACATGGGAACTGTGCTCCTTATGTCCAGGGACCAGCAGGTCAGGAGGAGTCAATCTTTGCAGGGGCATCTGACACGTCATGAGGAGGCAAGGCAGCTGTGACACAAGAGGGCGGCGGGGGGGTGGGGAGGAATGGCTTAGATAGGAGTGGGTTCAGGTGATCCACTGAGGTGCTTCCTGGGACATCCTTGCCCAACTGTGATAAATGGACACACATCAACTCGAGTCTGAGAAGCGCACAGTGACCAGGGCTGACCTCAGGAATGAGGCTCTGGGTCCTGCCACCAAGAGAGCCACTGATGCCAGCAGAGGTGGTAACTGTGTGAGAACCTGGGATGGATAACAGATGAGGGAAAACAACTCCAACAGTAAGGGCTGTAGTTTGTCCTACCAATCTTCCTTTTCTCAGTCTCTCCTCCGAGACCTAATATTGGGAAAATGGATCTAAACAGTGGAAGGGATGGACTGTGTAGTCTCAGAGATGTGTCACCCAGACCCCTCTTCCAAGAATGACTTTGCAGGGAGAGTGCTCAGCAGACTGCCTCCAGCGCCAGCGTTTTCAGAGCTGGCCTCAACTGAAAAGATCTGCTTCACCTGAGATTACGCCCTTCCCAAGGCCACCTGCCTCTGGTGACTGAGCAACTCAGCCGTCATAAAGGCCAGACCATCTTGGCCTGATACAAGACACTCTTCTGAGCAACCCCTGCTTCAGAGCTCCTCACTGGCTTGGCTAAGGTTTCAACAACCTACAGTGCAGTTTGACTTCTTCCTCTGATCAATCCTTTCCTAATTATTCTCCCATCACTTCACAGCCATTGATCCTCAGTAAACGTCTTGCACCCCAAACTTCATCTCAGCATCTTCTTCCAGAGAACCCAACTTATGACACAGCCCGACTTGCTCTGTTAGTTAGGAATATGTGGGTTTTAAGTAACAAACACAACTTGAACCAGCTGAAGCAAACATGGGAATTTATTAGGATATGTGGGACATCTCACAGAAGAACCCAACAATCAAGGCATGAAAAGGGCAGAGATGAACCTAGACATCAAGACAAGAGAAGCCAGGGGCCGGCCCCGTGGCACAAGCGGTTAAGTGCGCATGCTCCGCTGCGGCGGCCCGGGGTTCGCAGGTTCGGATCCCGGGCGTGCACGGATGCACCGCTTGGAAAGCCATGCTGTGGCAGCATCCCATGTAAAGTGGGGGAAGATGGGCATGGATGTCAGCCCAGGGCCAGTCTTCCTCAGCAAAAAGAGGAGGATTGGCATGGATGTTAGCTCAGGGCTGATCTTCCTCACACAAAAACAAAACAAAACAAAACAAAAAAGACAAGAGAAGCCAGAACCTGGGACGCAGTCAGGACTGGTCTTGAACTCTGCTTCCATGATGGCTTCCTCCTTCTCTCCCACTGCAGACTCAGCTTCTCCATGTGGTAGAAAACACAGCCACTGATGGCACCCACATGATACATTTCAGCTTCAACTGCTGAAGTTATACAGACAAACAAGACAGGCCCAGCTTCCCAGAAGCCTTCTAATGGAAATGATTATATTATCAGTGACAAGCACATGTACAGCTTCATATAGGTTGGGTAGGCATTAACAAGGAACAAGGGCATTTCCACAGATTTGCAAAAAGCATAAGATGAGCGACTGTAGAAATCTCAAAGAACTGCCAAGTATTTCTAGAAGGCCAAAAAAAACTGTGTCGGAGGAAAGTTTAAGTATTCAGAAATGAAGGATAGGCATGGATTTGTATACAAGTCCTCAATACCACGATATTACACTTTATTCTTAAGTCCACAATTAGCCACACATTATTTCAACATGGTTTGTAATCAGAATTGCATCTTAAAATAACTACTATGTGTAGGTGTGAAAAATGGGCTAAGAAAGAATGAAGGCAAGCTGCAGAAAGCATGCACAGAGCTGCAGGGTCACGGCTGAGTCCGTCTGTCAGCACTCAGGCCAGGACTAGGTGCTGAACATCTGAAAGCTTGCTGGTACCATATCTGTAGACTAATGAGCCCACTGAAATTGACAACCTGGGTACATATTGCTGGAATAAATGACCAAACGGCTGAGGTCTCAAGTGTGGATTCCAATGCCTACTGACCTATATTCTACTATTTAATACAGACATTGTAGACAAATCTGGTGTTCTTTGGCTTCATTTCATCTCAGCAGTCTACAAGTGATGTTCTTGAAACCAAAATATCTGGAACATACGGATCTACACGGACATAACTGTGTCAGGAGATGCTGAAGCCAACCAAGAGAAGCTGAACAGAAGGCCTGGGACAAGTCTCAAAATTCAGACTGGACCTCCAGAAGATCCACTCCTTAGTGAAAGAACGCAACAGAAACCATCCCCTGTAGAACTGCCTCCAGGCCAGTGGAAGGCCCTGGGTGGTGAGAGGAAAGGAAAGGGATGTCTGTTTCCCTGAGTGTTCTATCTCAACCTAGCCTACTGGGCTCCATGAAACTGTATGCAATCCAGCTAACTTTAAAACTGGCTTTCTTCATGTGGGGTTTGTGGTAGAAATCAATGAGGGGAAATGTGGGGACACATTATGGGGAGTTTACCAAGGTCATTTAAAAAACAGACACTAAAAATATCTAACATCAGAATCAGAACCTTCTTGTGACACTTCAGAACCACAGAGCTCCCAGTGAGTCCTACACACGCCAGGGGCTCCTCATCGGGTATTCTGATAAACTAGACCTCAGTTGCCAGTATCAGCCCTCCCTATGACTAACATCTGACCCTTAGGAGAAAAATCTTGCTCTTGGGCAGTCAATCAATAGGTGAATGCCAAAGTTTCATTATCTAGTGAAGGAAGTACTAGGTTTAACTACTTAATAGTTAATGTAATAATCTAGAATTGCAGTAAGCAAAATTAGGAAATGTTTAGACAACAGACTCCTGAGCTCAATCCAAGACCTAATGACTCAATCTCTGGGACAAGGGAAGAGAATCATGAGAGACGGGAAGAAAAAAACAGGAAAAAACACAAAGTAAGATATAACCCTGGGGGCCGGACCCGTGGCTTAGCGGTTAAGTGCGTGCTCTCTGCTACTGGGGGCCCGGGTTCGGATCCCGGGCATGCACCAACGCACCGCTTCTCTGGCCATGCTGAGACCGCATCCCACATACAGCAACTAGAATTTGCAACTATGACATACAACTATCTACTGGAGCTTTGGGGGGAAAAAAAGGAGGAGGATTGGCAATAGATGTTAGCTCAGAGCCGGTCTTCAGCAAAGAGGAGGATTAGCATGGATGTTAGCTCAGGGCTGATCTTCCTCACAAAATAAATAAATAAATAAATAAATAAAATGTCACCCTGTAACTATTTGTTCGTTTACAAAGGTCTGTTTCCTACATCTGGTAAAATGAGCTTTAGGCATTAGGGAGAAAAGTAGAAAGTCCATAAATTTGAGTATGAATACAAATTTGGGAAATTAGATGATTTTAAAATTAATATGTGGAAGGCCAGGATTATCTGGCTGTTAAAATTCTGGTACCATGGTTTAGAAAATTACTCTCATTTATTTAAAGTCCTAATTTTTCAACCATGATGTAACATGGGTAATTAAAGGAAAAAAATACTGCTGGAATCAAAGGTGCGACACACCATACAGAGGGAACAACTTGTGCACAAGAGAAGCCTTGATTTTTCCCAGTTTGGAAACAAGGTCAATGTTGGACTTTTCTGAATTTCTCCATCGTACAAAAAATACTGTTGACTTTGTCAAGTAACATTATAGAGAGATCGCTACAAAACCCTAACTAAGCTACAAGATGGTTCACGCATTTTCAAGGGAACCACACTTACACAGCTCAGGGTGCGGAGCCTCCCGTGCAGGTGATACAACTGCTGAAGGAAGGACAACAAGTATTGCAAATGATGCAGTAACGAAAATCCTGCTTCCTGATGCCTGTCCAGTAGTCACAGACACGTGCAGGAACGCCAAACAGGCCTCCCTGAATACATCAAAAATATAGTTCTCACCACAAAATTCTCTATATTTTACATTTTCTGGAGTGACTCAAATAATTGGTTTCTCCATCTAATTTTTTACAACATACTTTATGAAACATCAAAAACATAAGAGCAGCACACAGCATCCATGACACTCATCAGAGTAAACTAAAGTACACGTTGCACTTGTTACACAGCACTTTATGAACGTGATGCTCACAGGCCTGTAACTCACTGAGAAACAGACTGTGCTCAGCACCACTGCCATCTCGTCTGAGTGCTGAGTGACACAGTGCTCACCCTCCTCCTGCTCACTCAGTTCATCATGAGTCACCAGTGCTGGTCTGTGCTTCTTGCCTTTGAATACTTATATAAACTGTTTCTCAGACTCTGAGGGTGCAGGAGACTTTATATAATGTTGGCTTTTGTTACTGAAGAGAAAAGTCAGTAATAACAGACCCCTTTGATATGCCAACAAACCACAAGGGAAAAAGAGATGTGGTATCTCATTTTACTCTCATTCATTACTTAAGCTACTTATTCAGCAATAAGACATGTGATATTAGTTACCATTTTTATAGTATCATTAAAATGGAAAAACCAGTTGCATGTGTCTCCACAGACATCAGAGGCACTACAAGGCTGTGTGCATTTCATGCTCCCAATTACACTACCATATGCCATTCCAAAATACACATATGTGACACAGGAAAATAAGCCATAAATACCACTGAGAAATTTCTTATTTAGATGTTCCAATAATTCAATTTATTCATATATCTTTAAAACTTCATACTTCAGAGTGAACACCTGTCAACCATTTAAATTGGGTATTTTGGGTACCCATGTTTATAAAAAGTGTATGGCTTCCCTTTATAGCATTACTTCTAGGAACACATATTTCCAATGACTTTAAATTAGGTTTACCCCACAATATGAATTCTCCAAAATACAATATGGTTGGATTACCTGCTGAAGATTGTCCCATATCCAGTATTTTCACAGAATTTCATTCCTGAGGGCATTTTCTTATGTACAATGAGCTGTCATTTCTTGATGAAAATATTATGTCACTTGCTGCATTCATGGGGTTTTCCTTCACTCACTGGACTAAGATTTATCTCCAGTGAGAATGTTTCCAACAGCTAATGAGATTTGACCTCTGGAAAGCTATCTGAGGTACAATTCACAATTCCTCTTTGCTGTTAATTTTCTACCATATGAGGTTTGACAGGATTTTGAAATCCACTGCGTTTCATAAGCTCATTCTACTCTATGAATTCTGATATAAACGTATTAGAAGCATCTGCGGTAAGCTCAGAACCTCATTATCACTCCTACCCTAAGAGTACTCAGACATATACAGTGATGTGACTGTTATCTGATTTATCACAACTGCATTTTCTCAAGTACAATGAGGTAAGATCTCTGTCAGAGACTAATATTCACTCCATTCCTAGGATTTCTTTACTGTGTGAGTTCTCTGATGATTAATTAGCTGTGACTTTTGGGAGAAGGCTTTCCCACATTCAGTGCACTGATAAGGTTTCTCCCCTGTATGAATCCTCTGATGATTAACAAGCTGTGACTTCTGGGAGAAGGCCTTCCTACATTCGCTGCATCCATAGGGCCTCTCTCCTGTGTGTGTCCTCTGATGTGGGATGAGGTGTGATTTCCGAGAGAAGGCTTTGCCACATTCGCTGCATTCGAAGGGTTTCTCTCCCGTATGTATCCTCTGATGATTGATGAGACTTGACTTTTCCCTGAAAGCTTTTCTACATTCAGGGCATTCATAAGGTTTTTCTCCTGTGTGAGTTCTCTGATGTCTAATTAGCTCTGATTTCTCAAAGAAAGCTTTCCTACAAAGACTGCATTCATAGGGTTTCTCTCCGGTGTGAATTCTCTGGTGAGTATTGAGCTGTGACTTCTGGGAGAAGGCTTTTTCACAATCCCTGCATTCGTAGGGTTTCTCTCCCGTGTGAGTTCTCTGATGAGTTGCAAGACTTGACTTCTCACCAAAGGCTTTCCCACATTCAGTGCATTCATAGGGTTTCTCTCCTGTGTGTGTCCTTTCATGGGATATGAGATGTGACTTCTGACAAAAGGCTTTCCCACATTCACTGCACACATAGGGCTTTTCTCCTGTATGAATTCTGTGATGATTAGTGAGGCTTAGTTTTTCACTGAAAGCTTTCCCACATTCACTGCATTCATAGGGTTTTTCTCCTGTGTGAGTTCTCTGATGTCTAACAAGCTGGGATTTCCTGCTGAAGGCCTTCCCACATTTAATGCATATGAAGGGTCTCTCTCCCGTGTGTGTCATCTGATGTGATATGAGGTGTGACTTCTGGGAGAAGGCTTTCCCACACTGAATGCATCCATGAGGCTTCTCTCCTGTATGGGTTCTCTGATGGTTAATAAGACTTGACCTCTCTCTGAAGGCTTTCCGACACTCACTGCATTCATAGGGCTTCTCTCCAGTGTGAATGGTCTGATGTCTGATGAGCTCTGATTTCTCAAAGAAGGCTTTTCTACAATCACTACACCCATAAGGTTTTGTTCCTGTGTGCGTCCTGTGATGGGTAACAAGCTGTGACTTCCTGCTGAAGGCTTTCCCACATTCTCTGCATTCAAAAGGTTTCTCTCCTGTATGAATTCTCTGATGATTAATGAGATTTGACTTCTCACTGAAGGCCCTCCCACATTCACTGCACCCATAGGGTTTTTCCCCTGTGTGTGTCCTCCAATGTGATATGAGATGTGACTTCCGGGAGAAGGCCTTCCCACACTCACCACATTCATATGGTTTCTCTCCTGTGTGTGTCCTCTGGTGGGATGTGAGCTGTGACTTTTGGGAGAAGGCCTTCCCACACTGGCCACAATCATAAGGTTTCTCTCCTGTATGAGTTCTGTGATGTGTAATAAACTGTGACTTCTGGGGAAAGGTTTTGCCACATTTACCACAGCCATAGGCTATCTCTCTTACATGTCTGCTCTGATGTTTAATAAGACTTGATTTCTTAGTGAAGCGCTTCCTACATTCACCGCATTCATAGAGTTTCTCCCCTAAACGAGTTCTGTGATATATGATAATCTGTGACTTCTTACAGCTGCCTTTATCATATTTATCACATTCATAGCATTTTAACCAAGTGTCAGTTTCCTCGGGTCTGGTATGGAGAAACAATTTATCAAAAACATTTAGGTCATCTGGTTCCATTTTTCCATAATCTGCTTTTGGAATAAGTAAATCTAAATGATGTTTTAAAATTAATCCATCTACATCACCTTCACTGTTTGATTTCCTTAAAGGAGCAAAGTTCATGCTCAGATTGAAATTTTTTCCAAATGCATCACATTCATCATCTTGTTTCCTGTTTCTAAGCTTCTCTTGGGTATCCTGGTGCCATGTCACGTGACCACTTGCTTCTAAGACTTGTTCTATAAAGAAAAAAACCCTGTGAATCCTTCCATAATTGTGGTCACTCAATAAAATATGAGAAATGCTATGTGAGGATGAATGCTTTTTAAGGCTTCATTTCTTAGTCTCAAATAAGTCCCAAATATAGTGTCTATCCTGTAGGTATCAAAAAACAAAGGAAATGCTGTAAACAGGAACAGGAAACACACAGTAGATTAACTTACCTTTGATTGTTGTCAAACAGAAGTTTACAAAACGAGGAGAGAATGTGAAAAATACATGAAGAGCAATGAGGAACAAAGAAAGGAGGTATTGATCCAATGTCCTGAGGAATTATTTACTCAACACCGACTGACACACCACGTTCCAGGGGGCATGTGAGGTGCTGGAGACATAAGAGAACAAGCCCCCGCCATTGTGAAACTTACATCGCAAAGGAAAAGATAATTAATAGATAATATTAAGAAACAACATGACTGTTCACTGTGGAAAGTACTGTGAAGAAAATTAACAAGTTTTATAGAGTTAACTGGCTAAAACCATTTCAAGCTTGAAGAATGAGAAATATTTTGTGTGCTTTTTCCTATTCTCAAATTTTCTGAAAAGTTTTATTTAAACTTACAATATATACTTTCAACATTACTACCAGGAAAACCACTTCACATAACACATTCAAAACACATCATCTTTCATCTAAACTGTCCAGGGAAAACTCTAAAGTCCATGTGTTCTTTCACTGAAATTGTCCCAAGACACATGTTCCCATTCTTAAAAGTATGCTGAGGGCCGGCCCCGTGGCTTAGCGGTTAAATGCGTGCGCTCTGCTGCTGGCGGCCCGGGGTCGGATCCCAGGCGCGCACCAACGCACCACTTCTCCGGCCATGCTGAGGCCGCATCCCACATACAGCAACTAGAAGGATGCACAGCTATGACACACAACTATCTACTAGGGCTTTGGGGGAAAAATCAATAAATAAATAAAAATTGTAAGAAAAAAAAAAAGTATGCTGAGAGTGGGATTGTCATTTATTACATAGCTCCATTTCCATTATCCTCACAACATAACCACTTATGCCAGGGTTAAGTGATCTTCCAAAGAATTATTTTTCACTAAGAATCTATACTTGAAATTTTTTCTGAGGTCATACCCACAGGTATGAAAGACAATCAGTAATGTTAAAATTTTTTTAAGGACTTACTTAAATGTCAATTGAGGGCAATAAATTTGCAGGAAACCCACAACTCACTGTTGGCCATATATATTTTGGAGGTAGAATCAACAAGGTTTGCTGATGGAGCTGATATGTGGGGGATAAGGGAAAGCAAGGAATCAGGAAGGATGCCTAGGTTTTGGGTTTGAGCAATTCAGTGGATTGTGGTGTTAATTACTGAGTTGGGAAGAAGGAGGGAAAAAGAGGTCTGGGACTAAAATCAAGAGTCTACCAGATACATTAATTCTGAGATGTATGTTACATTTGAATAAATGTGAGTGTAGAAAATGGAATATGTGTAAATTAAACTTACAGTTTTATGTTACTTTAGTAAAATGTTACTTTAAATGTTACATTATTAAACTAAGTACACATTTGGAAATATCTACCTTCCTCCAAATTTTTGTTTAATTTCTTCCCATGAGAAGAATGAGACTCTTCGTATTTGGCTATTTGTGGTATATTCCAAATATTCCAACTCTCTCCATCATTTTCTCTGCTGTAGTTTACTCCAGCTTATTATCTCAATGAAACATCCTTCTAATTGGTTTCCCTGCTTCCAAGGACATTTTCCATTCTGTGGTCAGACTGACTCTTAAAAATGTAAATCAGATAACTTTACCTTTATTTAAATTAATTTAAATCAATCTAGATTCCTTTCTATTGCTTACAGATTGATGTATCATCAATCCAGCTCCTGCACCCTCTCCAACCTCTATCTCCCTGGCACACTGACCTCAACACATAGCCTTCCTTTCTGTTTCTCAAAGTCACTAAGTCCCTTCCCGACTTAATACATTCATATCTGTCATTCCTTGTGGGGACACTTCTCCCCAGTTCTTCAGGTAGCTTGCTCACTTCACATCTAGAATTGGCTTCTCCACGTTACCCTGTTGTGGACTGAATGTTTGTGTCCCCCCAAAATTCATATGCTGAAGCCCTAACGCCCAGTGTGGCTGTATATGGAGATGGGGTCTCAAATGAAGTAATTAAGGCTAAATGAGGTCATACGGGTGAGGCCCTGATCCAACAGGATTAGTGTCCTTACAAGAGACACTAGAGAGAACTCCCCACACCCGCTCCGCCCACATGCATGAATGAGGAAAGGCCATGTGAGGACAGAGCTACAAGGCTACAGGTGGGTCTACAAGCCAGGAAGACAGACCTCATCAGAACCCGATCATGCTGGCACCTTGATCTTGGACTTCAACCTCCAGATCTGTGAGAATAACTCTCTGCTGCTCAAACCACCCAGTCTGTAGTACTTTGTTATGGCAGCCTGAGCAGATTAATACACTCTCTATGACATCATCACCTAATTTATTTCTACAATCATACTTTCAGAGTCTGGATTTTATCTTGATTATGTGCTAACTTGTTCACTCTTATCCTCCCACTAGAAAGTAAGCACTACATGGGCAGGGAACATGTCTCTAATGCTCACTATTGTACCAATAGCACCCAGCACAATACCTGAGAAATAGGAGAATCTGTTTGTATTCAATGTTCTATGAACTGCTACAGCGGTCTGTGGAGAAGAGCTAGCCTCTGGCTTGAGACAGCTGTGCAGAGACAGGCCTGCCAGGCTGGCCCTTGGCTGGCATTTGGAAACTTGGGTTTCGGGACAGTTCCCACCACTCCCTAACTGATAAAGTGGCCCCTGTGCCTAGAGCGTGTACAGACAACATGGTCTATGCCGAGCACCTGCTTCCCTTCTGGAGTCTGAGAGGCTGATGCGAGTCTCTAATCAGCTTCGCCGGGCAGACACATCACACACGTCACTGCATTTTTGCTGCTGAAGGAAAAGTGAGCTCTCTGTAGCCCTCGCAGAGGGAGAGAGCCCAGGAAGTCTGCCCTGGATTCTTCCAGAGTCTTCTGTGACTCCTCCCTTGGGATGAAGCTGTGTATTCTGGTTAGGCCACTGTAATAAATCTGAACATTAAGTACAACTACATTCTGAGTCCTTCTAGTGACTCTCCGAACATGGGGTGGTCTTGGGGACCCTGACACACAGTCCTTGACTGTGTAATTAATTTTGATAACTAACTTTGCACTGCATTGCAATGAAACATAAACACTCAATGTTTAAATACTGAATAAAAAAACTGGATGCAAATGTCACATCTTCTTAACTAAGTTCTAGGCTTCTAAGTTCTTATTTTATAGGTCTCTTACTTGTTAATCATTTTTAGTAGTCATTAGAGTAGTGGGTCTCAACTAATGAGGTGCACATAAAAATCACAATAAGTTTTTCAAATTACGAGTTTCAGTACTAGAATACCAAATTAAAAGCTACAGATACACCACTCTACTGAATCAGTTTCTGGTAATGGATCCATGATGCTCATCACTGGGAAAAAAAAAATCCCCAGGTAATCTGATGTATAACTGGCTAAAAACACCTGAACTAAACTAACGGGCTTGTGGAGAGACATTTATTGAATGAATATTGTGTGTCCCATCACTGAAGATATTAAATCATAAGCCCTGGGTCTATGCATGCAAACATGGCTCAGGGGCCAACCAACTAAAAAACATGACACACCATGATCAGGTCTGGGATGGGACTTCAGAAAAAGGTGAGAAAAATTTAGGCTGGAGCAGTCAAGGAACATTTTATGAATACTGATGCAGTGAATACAGAGTTTGGGCAGAAAGAATTAAGGTTTCTAGACTAAAAAAAAAACAAAAACATAGCATGATCAAAAGTTCAGATGCAGGGCCGGCCCCGTGGCTTGGTGGTTAAGTGAGCGTGCTCCACTGCTGGCGACCCGGGTTCAGATCCCAGGCTTGCACCGACGCGCTGCTTCTCCGGCCATGCTGAGGCCGCGTCCCACATACAGCAACTAGAAGGATGTGCAGCTGTGACACCCAACTTTTTTCTGGGGCTTTGGGGGGAAAAATAAATAAATAAAATCTTTAAAAAAAAAAAAAAAAAGTTCAGATGCAGAGAAGAATAAATAGTACATGTCTGAAAACACTGAGAAATGTTTAAATGGAACTGACTGTGAATTTGGAAGGAAAAGGGGAAACAGGTGAACAGGGCACACGGGCGTGTACTGTGGAGGTCCCTGAAGAAGAGGCCACAGATGAAACAGGTGCTCCTGCTGCCTCACCCACAGCCCTCAGCTACAATCAGGGAACACCAGCAGCTGGGCAGATGTGGGGCCCACCCCAGGTGCCCGAATCTCTCCACCTGAGACCTTTCCAAGGCCGCAAGTGCATGCTGGGTCTGTGTGCAGAACGCTGAACATTCTGGAGACTTGATGTTCCCCAGAGAGAGATGACACTCTCTCAACTACTCAGAGATGCTCAACCACCGGGAGACAGGAGCTGGGAGGATGACACCAGCTTCCTGGTCCCTCAGCGCTCCAGCAGCACTGAGTGCCCACTGCCCACAACAGCAGTAACGCCCTTCACTGCACTACTCCTCCCACCACATCTCACTTCCCTTTCTCCCCCTACACCGTGGGATCACACGCTCAAAAAATTCTTGCACTCAGATACGTATCTCAGGGTCTGCTTCTGAGGGAACCTGAGGTCAGCCAATGTCACAGGCAGATAACAAGGAGGAGGAGGTTTAACTCCTCAAAGCAGTGCTCGGTGCTTTGGGAATCAAATATGGGATAACACATAAAAGAAGATCAGAATCTAGATCCGTCCAGCAATCTGTAGAACTGAGGAACAAGACGTCATGGGCTTAGTTTTAAGTGGGAGTTGAGGAGGGAAGGCTCTAAAAAGATATTTTCCAAAGGGCAAAAAACTCAGTAAGAAAGAATGGCAGAAAGAGATCATTCAATGTACTCCATGTGCCACCTATAGAAAAAGCACAGCAGAACCTAATCTAAAAAGAGATGAAAAGGACAAACTGGAAGGATGATGCCTCCGTTCTCTGATAAAGAGACTGAACACGGGGCTTCACAGGGAACTTCTCTGGGCATCAGAGACACTCAAAACGAGGGGAAAAAGAAGAATACTTGAATGTACAAGCAGCAGTGTCTTTGACTACAGGGGAAGGGAGGACAGAGGGAGATGAAACACGTCGGGGACAGAACACCCAATAAGGAGTCAAAGTCCCAGACGCAAGAGACGGGGAAGAACGACACGGCCCAGACAAGCCGAAACATTCTGCTTTAGGCTCCAAGCAGAGGCCACATCTGAATGTGATTACTTGAGGAGCTCGTGTCAGTTGTGAGTCACCACCAAAGCCTGAGAGATTTGGCAAAGAGCTCCCTAAAGCACGTTCCAAAGATGCCAACCCACTGACCAGCTGAGACACTGCCACCCCCTCCCACCGGCCTGGTTCTCATACACTCACCTGGAGGGTCTGAACTTGCGATTTCTCCATCGCCTGTCCACGGCTCTTCCCCTCGCTCCAACTTGAGGATGACCTCGGGTTTTCTAACTTCATACCCTGTTCAAGGGAAACCACACAGGCCTTGGCCCTGACTGCTTGGGCTTTAGGGCCTCCGAAGAATGAGCAAGGTTGGGCATCAGAGTTGACCCAGTGAAGCTACCCGTTTGTATATCAACAGAGCAAACAATTCTCAAAGAAAAGTAATGGTCTCTCTGGGAGCTAACGGGGTCTAAAAATCTCTGACTAGAATAATTCAAGTCCCAAACCATTAAACACTTCAGAGGCTCTGGTGCCAGCCTGCCTGGGTTCAAATCCAGGCTCTTTCATTTACTAACTCCCTGGGAGTTACTTAACCTCTCTTTGCCTCAATTTCCTCATTATAAAAAAAGGAGAGCAATCACACCGGCCGCACAGGACTGCTCTGACGGTTACATGAGTCAACACGTGAACAGGATGTAGAACGGAGTAAGTTACATGCACCACCCTCGACCCAACCCCTCCCCCCATTACTATTAGTTTCAGAGGCTACACAATGAAATTAAGACCTCATTATTGGAAGGTGAGATCCAAACACTTTCCCTGGTGTCAAAGTCCAAGGAACTTTGATCTCCTAAATTTAGGTCCAAAATCACTAAAAATTTCAGAAGCCTCAACACTCTCAGCAATTAAAAAAGAAAAGGCAACGTACTGAGCCCAGTCTGAGGTCCCCTGGGAAGCTTTCCTTACCCAGCGACACAAGGCTGCTGTAGTTCTCCAACATGACATCCTTGTACAAGTCCTTCTGCGGGGGGCCCAGGAGCTGCCACTCCTTCTGGGTGAAGTCCACTGACAAATCTTCAAACGAGAACGACTCCTGTGAGAGCACAAGCCTAGTAAACCTGAAGCACTACCACTGCAGGATGAGGGAAGCGGGTGCTGGAGCGGGAGCACATCATGCATCATAACAAGGCACGGAGAGTCCCAAGCCCCTGCTCTTGCTAGTCTGTGGGATGAAATACCATGATGCGTTCTTCCATCTTTCCATTTACACAATACGTGAGAACTGGAATACACTGACTTCTGAGTCACCAACAAAATATTCACTGAACCTCAAATCTGGCACCAGAAGAGACAGCAGCAAAAGAAGATAATAAAACAATATCCCCAAAACCTGCTCAGTCTTGTAGAGGGCTGCAAACAAGTACACCTATAAACAAAGGAGGTGGTTACAACAGCTAAGACAGAAATGAGGGCACAGGCACCAACCGGGTGGTGCAGCAGTTAAGTGCTCGTGCTCCACTGCGGTGGCCTGGGGTTCGCAGGTCCGGATCCCGGGTGTGCACTGACGTACCGCTTGTCAAGCCACGCTGTGATGGCATCCCATATAAAGTAGAGGAAGATGGGCACGGATATTAGCTCAGGGCCAATCTTCCTCAGCAAAAACAGGGGGATTGGCATTGGATGTTAGCTCAGGGCTGATCTTCCTCATAAAAAAAAAATTAAAAAAAAAAAAGAAATGAGGGCACATGTGGGTATAGGCAGGGAGGGCATCGTCCTGTTTTCAGGTCAAGCTGGGCTCTCTGCAAGAGGTAACACTTGAGATGAATTCTAGGAAATCAGTCGCATTTTCCACACAAAAGAGGGTGCAAAGGCATTCTGGGAGACGGCAGCTCCAATATCAGACCCAAAAACTGCTGGGGGTGAGGAGGTGCAAACAGTTGAATGAGATCAACCCAACTGTGTGGGACAGTGGTTAGATCACAGGGTGTGGGGGTGGAGATCAGATCACATGGTGGGGGTGTGATTAAATCAAAGGGGTGTGGGGGTGGAGATTAGATTATAGGGTGGGCGGTGATTAGGTCACAGTGTGTGGGGTGGAGATTAAATCATAGAGTGGGGCGGTGATTAGGTCACAGGGTGTGGGGTGGTGATGAGATCACAGGGTGGGGCAGTGATTAAGTCAAAGGCTGCGGGGTGGAGATTAGATCATAGGGTGGGGCAGTGATTAGGTCACAGGCCACAAAGGGAGGATGGGCAGATGGTGGTTAACACAGCTGGACACTGTCATGTTGCCAACAGTTAGCCATGAAAGATTTTACAGGATGGGAGTGATATAACCAAATTTAGGTTTTAGAAAGGTTTCTGGATTTCAGATCAAGATGAACTTCTGTCCGAAAGTCTCCTGAGACGACAAGAAAACATAAACACACTCTTTAAAAAATCCAGAATACCATTGGAAAATAAGAAACCGGACCCTAAACAGCACACCCTACCCTCTGAGAGGAGCCAGTGAACCTGACGACAGTCAACAGAAAGTACCCATTTTGAGCAACCAAGGGAAAAAGACTTAAAAATGGACAGAGCTCAGGACACGGCAGACAATACCAATTCTATGTCGTGGGAGAAAAGAGAGCACGGTGAAGAAAGAAGTTTCAAGAAACGATGGCAGAAGATATCAAGTCTGCAGGTCAGTGGCCCCCAACGGATAAAAGAAACCCTTGACCACACACATCAGGTTCCAACTGCTACACAATAAAGACAGAGAAAAAGCGACACCACTTATGGGGACGGCGATTCAAACAACTGCAAACTTCCACCGAGAAGCAGAGAGCCAGAGGAGGCGGAACGGTTTACACCTGTGGAAAGGAAAGAGCTGTTAACCCAGAATTCCGTAGCCAGGAATAACTGTGAAAACACATTTTCTCAGGACGTGAAACTAGGAGAATTCAAGGGCAGCAGACCTGCTGTGAGTTACCAGTGGAAGATCTTCAGATGGAAACAATTCCAGAGGATAAGTTAGAAATCCAAGAACGAAGAAAGAGGAGAAATGGCAAATATCTAGAAACTATGACACACTCTTCTCCTCAAGTTCTTTAAAGTATGTTTGATGGTTGAAAGCAAAAATCTAACACTTTCTGAAGGAGCTTTCAATACATATAGGTGTAATATATCAGACTGCTATAACGTAAAGGAAAGAGGATAATGGGATCTGAATGGTGGTAAGATTTCTACGTTCCTATTGAAGTGCAAATAAAACTTAAAACTTTTGCACTTCAAATAACAATGAAATGAAATGTTTTCATTTCATTGAAAAATGAAATGACAAGACATGGACTGGAAAAAATTATTTGCAAATCATATTTCTGATAAAGAACATGACCCAGAACTTACAAAAACGACTCTTAAAACTCAATAATAAAGAGACAAACAACAATTCAAAAACAGGCAGCAGGACCGGCCCTGTGACCTAGTGGTTGAGTTTGGTACGCTTTGGTGGCCCGGGCTCGGTTTAGCAGCCATGCTGTGGCGGCGACCCACATGTAAAATAGAGGAAGACTGGCACAGACGTTAGCTCAGGGCCAATCTTCCTCAGGAAAAAATAAATAAATAAAAGGCAGAATATCTGAATACATTTTATCAAAGAAGATATAGAAACAGCTAATAAGCACATGAAACGATGACCAACATCATTAGTTATTAAGGAAATGCAAACTAAAACCACAATGAGGTACCACTTCACGTTCACTAGAATGACTATCATCAAACAGACAATAACAAGTGCTGGAAAGGACGTGGAGAAACTGGAACTTCATACTGGTAGGAAAACAAAATGGTTCAGACACTATGGAACTGTGGCAATTTCTTAAGAAGTTAATATAATTTTACCATATAACCCAGTAATTATACTCTTAGGTATGTGCCCAAGAGAAATGAAAACATGTTCATACAAAGCTCTGTACATGATTGCTCATATCAGCACTACTTGTAACAACCAAAAAGTGTAAATAATTCACATGTCCATCAAGTGGGGAATGGATAAACAAAAACTGTATCCATACACAGAATACTATCCAACAATAAAAAGAATGAATTTCTGACATCTGTTAAAACATGGATGGACTTCAAAAACATCTGCTAATTGAAAGAAGCTGGACACACAAGATTACACAATACACAAATCCATTTACACAAAATATCCAAAAGGAAAATCTATACAGAGAGTAAGCAAATTAATGGTTGCCTCAGGCTGAGGATGGGAACAGAAATCGACTGCAAATGTCTCTTGGGGTGACGGAAACTTTCTAAAACTGGATTGTGATCATGGTTACACAACATGATGTTACCAAAAAACAAAAAATAACACAGGACCAGCCCAGCAGCATAGTGGTTAAGTTCTCGTGCTCCTCTTCAGTGGCCCGGTTCGGATCCCAGGCGCAGACCTAGACACTGCTCATCAAGTTGTGCTGTGGCAGCATCCCACATACAAAAAATAGAGGAAGACTGGCAACAGATAGCTCAGGGCCAATCTTCCTCATGAGAAAAAAAATCACTGAATTATACACTTAAAACGGGTGGATCTTACTGAAGTCATAGTTCAATAAAGCTATTAAAAAGGACACTATAATAATAACTTTATGCCAACATATTTGACAACTTAGAAGAAACAGATATATTCCTTGAAAAACAATGTCTTCAAAAGTGACACAAGAATAAAGAGAAAATCTGAATTAGTCCTGAAACTGTTAAAGAAACTGACCCCCTTGGGCTGGCCCCGTGGCTTAGCGGTGAAGTGCGCACGCTCCGCTGCCAGCGGCCCGGGTTCGGATCCCGGGCGCGTACTGACGCACTGCTTCTCCAGCCATGCTGAGGCCACGTCCCACATACAGCAACTAGAAGGATGTGCAGCTATGACATACAACTATCTACCGGGGCTTTGGGGGGGGAAAAATAAATAAATAAAATTATAAAAAATAAAAAAATAAAATAAAATAAAATGCTTATCTTTAAAAAAAAAAAAAAAGAAAAGAAACTGACCCCCACAATTTAAAACCTTCCTTCAAAAAACTCAAGGTCCAGATGGCTTCAGAGGTGAATTTTTCCCAACATTTAGGGAATAAATAAAATGATCTCACATAAATTCTTTCGAGAGCAAACTTCTCAACTCATTTTATAAGGCCAACAGACCTCTCTAACCGCAAACCAGACAAGACCACAACAAGAAAAGAACATCACAATTAACTCTCACAGAATCAAAATTCCTAACCAAATATTAGCAAATTGAATCAAGCATGCATAAAAAGCATAACATCGCCTGACCAGATGAGGTTTCCTGCAGTAGTGCAAGATAGGTTGAACACTCAGAAATCAATAAATCATATTAACAGAATAAAGGAGGAAAACCATTATCATCCAACAGATGCAGAAGTGGGATGAAAATCTGTTAATTGTAAATATGATCAACAAACTAGGCATAGAAGGGAAATTAATCTGATAATCAAGATCTACAAAATATCTACAGCCAGCATCATACTTAATGGTAAAACACTGAACACTTGCTCCCTGAGGACTAGAAAGGCACTGTTGAATAGAATTTTATTTTATTTTATTTTGTGAGGAAGATTAGCCCTGGGCTAACATCCGTGCCTATCTTCCTCGATTTTATATGGGACGCCGCCACAGCATGGCTTGACAAGCAGTGCGTCAGTGCGTGCCTGGGATCTGAACCTGTGAACCCTGGGCCGCCGCAGCGGAGCGCACACGCTTAACCACTATGCCACCGGGCTGGCCCTCAACAGAATTTTTTTGTGATGAGTGAAATGTTCTATGTCTGCACAGTCCAGTACAGTAGCCACAAGCCACACGTGTCTACTGAATACTTTCAAGATGACTAGGAACTGACTTTTAAATTGTATTTAACTAATTTAAATTTAAATAGCACACGTAGCTAATGGCTACCTGTTGTATAATAAAGAATTTGTCTGGTCTTTGTCCCAGGTTCCTGGGATGGAGCTTCTACAGCCGTGGAATCTCTGCAGTGACAGGAGTGTCTGATACCCATGGTGGGCCCCTCCTGAGTGTATGCTATCAAGGTGA